CTCTATCCCTCTTCTATCCGCCTCCCACTCTCTCCCTATTTATTTCAAAACCCCCTTCCCCTCCCCCTTTTCTGATGAAGGGTCTAGGCCCGAAACGTCAGCCTCTCTGCTCCTATGATGCTGCTTGGCCTGCTGAGTTCATTCAGCCCTGCACCTTGTTGTCTCGGATTCTCCAGCATCTGCAGTTCCTACTATCTTGGATCTATTTTGCCAAGTTACCGTGGATCCCATGTGCTTTTACCTTCTTATCAGTAACATTAGTGAACCAGATGGGTTTTTACAACAATTGACAATGGTCACCACTAGACTGGCTGTTTATTTCAGTCTTTTATTAATTGCATTCAAATCTCACCAACTGTTATGGTGGAATTCTAACCCCTGTCCTCAGAACATTAACCTGGGGTTCTAGATGACCAGTCTGCCACTATGCCACCACCTCCCGAAGTGTTTTCACGTGTTGAGAGCAGCAAGATATGATGCACTGAAGTAATAAACAAATATATTTTCCTTAACTAGCTATGTTTTGTCAAAGCCATTGTGGCAATGTCTGATAGTCGTAATGGATCCTATATTTGAATTGCCTAGGTCTGAGCTTCCATTTGCTCACTATTTCTGCCAATAAGCTTCTGGTCACTGGATTGTGATTAGGTGCTGAAACTCCTATGTTTTTTTTTCTCTTCTGAACAATGGGATGCCAAAGTAGACTGAGGGAGAATAAAGGAAAATGAAAACATTTAGCAATTTAAGCTCTCATCTTTCAATAAGCAGCATATTCTAATGCCTGCATGTTAAGTGCAAGCAAGTGTTGATGGAAACTTTTCATGGCATATCTTTGTGCAATTGCAGATTATTTCCCATATTCAACAATGATTGAATAGTATTTCTCCCAAGTGTGCATCTAACAATACAGTGCTTCACCTAGATAGTTGATGACTAATGTGTTATCTTCTATTACAGTACATGTGCTAACTGTGCTTTTAAATATTAATTCTTTGCAAGTAGCTTCTACAACTGTGAAAATATTTAACATACAACAACTTGTTCAAATATTTTCCTGAAATGTTTTCCAGCCCTTCTGGGAAGTTGTCGGAAATGTCCATGGTCCTGTTTGCTTCTGTTGTGCGTGTCAGAGATGGCCTCCCACTTTCTGCTTCCACAGACTTTGAGCACAACAAAGGAGTGCAGGAAGTGAAGAAACATCTTAAAGTGCTGTCAAAAAAGCTAAGCCATCTGCCTGACCGATGCACACTAAAAGGTGTACAGTACAGTATACAGTAAGTCCTTTGTAACTCTTTCCCATTTGCCTTTGAAGGAAAGAAAGCAGTTACATTTTTATCATGTGACTTGTGTTCTTAAGCACCTTACAACCAATGCACTGCCTCTGCAATAAAGTTAGAGTTGGTAAGGAGTCTTATGTTAATCTGACATAAAAATGAGAAGTGCCTGCATCTTCAGAGAAAGAAAAAGAGTTAAATGTTGTGATGAAGTATGTCTGATTTTTTTATATGTATAAATATAGTTTTGAAGTTGGATTTCAAAATATCAGCATATGAGGTTACTAACATTTCTGAGGGGTTTTAAAAAAATTGGGCAGATGATTTTTTTTTTTGCCCAGAACATTGCTAATGTGGTGCCATTATCTAAGAAAGACTGTAAGGAAAAGCCAGGGAATTAAAGACCGGTGAGCCTTACATCAGTGGTGGTTAAGTTGTTGGAGGGGATGCTGAGGGACAGGATTTGGAAAGGCAAGGACTGATTAGGGGTAGTCAAGATGGATTTGGGCATGGAAAACTGCCTCACTAACTTGATTGAGGTTTTTGACGAGGTGGCAAACAAGTTTGGTGAAGGCACAGCAGTAGATGTTGTCTGTATAGACTTTAGCAAAGCGTTCAACATGGTAAACTGTTTAGTAAGGTTAGATCACATGGGATCCAGAGGGAGTTAGCCAGTTAGATACGAAATTAGCTTGAAGGTGGGAGACAGAGGGTGGTGTTAGAGGGTTGCATTTCCGACTGGAGGCTTGTGACCAGCAGTATGCCCCAAGGATAGGTACATGGTCCACCGCTTCTTGTCATTTATACAAATGATTTGAATGTGAATATAGGAGGTATGGTTATTAAGTTTGCAGATGATGCCAAAATACGTGGTGTAGTGAACGGTGAAGAAGATTATCTCAGACTACGATGAGCCGTTATAAAGATTTATAAAATCATGAGCATTGGTAGGGTGAATTGCCAAGGTCTTTTTCCTAAGGTGAGAGAGCCCAAACTAGAGGGCATAGGTTTAAGTTGAGAAGGGAAAGATTTAAAGAGGACCGGAGGGTTAACTTTTTTATGCAGAGTGTGGTGCATGTATGGAATGAGCTGCCAGAGGAATTGGTGGAGGCATGTACAATTACAACATCTAAAAGGCATCTGGATGGGTATATGCATACGAAGGGTTTAGAAGGATGTGGGCCAAATGCTGGCAAATGGTACCATGTCAGATTGGAATGTCTGGTCGGCGCAGATATGTTGGACCTAAGGCTGTGTTTCCATGCTGTATGACTGTATAATACAGCAGGTTTCAGAGCAGGAAATCCCTGGAATGTTATGGAAAATTATTTTTACTGTGGCTTATGATAGAGGTGGGGTAAACATTGAAGACCATTAACTTGTTTTTGGTTCTGGATAATCTGGATAATTGATTTCAGCTTCGAAAACCTGGTAATTGAAAACTTTTAAGGCAACTCAGAGGAGACCTAAATGGGGTCAGGAGAAAATATAGTTGAACTTCTAGAGAGGAGTGTAGGACAATTCACTTCAAGAAAAAAGTTTAATTTGTGAAGTTTACAAATAAGGAGCGCTTAGTTAGAAATCTGTGGGTTATTAATAACTGAGAAAGACTAAGCTGTTGGTTTTGATAGTAGTTATGTAAGAATGTGTTCACAGGAAAGGATCTGAGAAGAATCAGTTAAATTGCATTTAAGTTTTCTTTAATTCGTTCATGGAATGTGGTATCATGAGCTAGGCCAGCATTTATTGCCTGTTCCTAGTTATCTAGAGGGCAGTTAGAGCCAATCACTTGTGGGTCTGGAGTCACATGGATGCCATACCAGAGCGGGACGGTAGGTTTCGTTCCCTAAAAGACATGAGTGAACCAGGTGGGATTTTTTTCTCAAAAACTGACAGTGGTTATGTTATTGTCATTAGGCTATCTTAGTTTTTATTCCAGATTTTTATTGGATTCAAATTTCACCATCTGCCATGGTAAGATTTGAGCCCATGATCCCGAGAACATCACTTTGGGGTTCTGGATTACTAGTCCAGTGACATTAACAATACAGCAGCACCGCCTTCAATTAAGGGATAACTTCTCCAGATTTGAATCTATTGGATGGTGTTGAGAAACAGGATGAGACTTTGCTATGTGTTCAAACTGTATTCTGTATTTAGATGGTTGGGTTTTTTTCTTTTTGTGTAATAAACCTGTGTCGTGAAATAAAATCTGCAGCCTTATGTGACTGTGTTTCAACAACTGACCAGCACATTAACTAAAATTTGAAAAAAAAAACAGCTTCAAGTCAGATTTCATTCTGGGACCTGACATGTCTAGTCGTGTCAACATCCGGGGCCATAGCAGCATTTCAAGCTCAATATTACTCCTCTTCGAAGCTCAAAATTCGAAATCTGATTTTGGCAGTATTAGCTGAGTGAAGAATGTTGACCAGGATGCTGGCAGAACTTTGTGCCCTTTTACACACAATGTCCCATGGATCCTTTACATTTACCTCAATGACTAGACTGGTTTAACATTTTGTCCTAAAGCAGCACCTGTGAACCTTGCACCCGTGTAACTGCACTGAGCTTATCTGCACATTTCCTGCAGTGTACAATTTTCTGATGTGATACGACCTAATGGTTTAGTGATATTGTTGTTAGAGGGAGTTTTGAGTGCACTTACTGAAAATGGAAAACAAGTGGCTCTGTATGGTAGACACAAAACGTTTGAGGAATATAATTGAGTTTACGTTTGAGTGACGCAAGCGTAGAAATGGTATTCATTATAAAAGTTGAGGTTGAGACCCTAAACGAGGTTGCAAGCTGAAATTTTAGGCTCACGAGCACTGAGTAAGCAATGATCAAGCCTGCCTTGCTCCCTGTTCTCAGAAATCTTCTGTTTCTCATTCCTCCCTCCAGCTTACTGTGAGCACGTGACAGTTTTCAAGCCTCAAAATAGAATCACAGTGAGAAAATGCTTGGGAAGCATAATATTAAGCGTTCCATCAATCAAATGATTCTTATTTCTTTCCTCCTTACTGTTGGTTGCATTGTTCATAATGTTTGTTTGGCTCTATGCAAATAAAGTAATTGAGTTTTGCAGCGTGAGGCAAGTATGAAAAAAAATAAAGCTGTGGAAACCCAAATGCAGATAAATGTCTTCCTCAAAGCACTTTTGTTCAAACTTGTAAACAGGTCAATATCAGAGTAAAGGTCAACTGTGTTTTTGTAGCACATAGACTAGTCACTGTCTTGTGTACATTGAATGAATTAAAGAATAGTTGGCGGAGGATTGACATTATGCATGTGATTGACTTGGGACTTGTGCAAGATGAAGATGTTAACCTGCTTTTGTTTATTGTACTGGTTGAAACTTTTCTTAATGAAAGAAGTGCAACAAAGCCAGCTTTACCTATTATCCCAGAGATCTTTGACTCCTAGACGATGTTTGCCTGTTTCATTAATTATCTTTAAATGTCACCATGTTTCTGCAGTTCCCAACATGATCGGAGGCAGTTGTGGTTGGTTGCCTCGCCGAGCTGGTTCGTTGTTCCACAGACGTTTCATTACTTTGCTGGGTAACATCATCAGTGCAGCCTCCGATGAAGCGCTATTGTGTTTTCCCATCTGTCATTTAAACTCTGGTGTCCGTTGAGCTGGATTACCTCCTTCCGGTTTTCCTTCGCAATGGAGTGTATATGGGGTCGAGCTCTATGTGTTTATGGATGGCTTTCTTAGTGGAGAGCCAAGCTTCTAGGAATTCCTGTGCTTGCCTCTGCTTTGTCTGCCCCAGCATTCTGGTGTTGTCCCAATCAAATTGGTGGTTTTCCTCATCCATGTGGATGGAGATGAGTGAGTATTGGTCATGTCTTTTTTGTTGCCAATTGATGTTCATGTACTCTTGTGGTTAATTTCCTTCCTGTTTGTCCAATGTAATGTTTGTTGCAGTCTCTGCGGGGAATCTTGTATATGCCATTGGTCCTGTCCATAGTGGGTAGTGGATCTTTGGTTCAGGTGAGCAGTTGGCGTAGGGTTGATGTGGGTTTGTGTGCTTTTCTGATGACCAGTGGTTGTAGGAATCTTGTAGTCAGTTCAGATGTGTTCTTGATGTAATGTAGCGCGATGAGTGTGTTGGGCAAGTGGTATCTTCCTGGTGTCGTTTGTGTAATAGGCATCTTCTGACCCAGTTTTTCAGGTATCCGTTGTCTTTGAATACTCTTTTTGGTGTAGTTCTGTGCTGCTGCAGTGTGTTGTTGCCCGTTTAAATAATGTTCTCACGCAAATTCGTTTGTGTGTGTTAGGGTGGTTGCTGTTGAAATTCAGTACTTTGTCAGTGTGTGTGGCTTTCCTGTATACCTTTGTTAGGAATTCTCCATTGGTCCTATGTTCCACCGTAACATCCAGGAATGGGAGCTGTTTGTTCTTTTCCACTTTGGTGAATCTGATCCCGGTGAGGGTGTTATTTATTACTTTGTGTGTCTCCTCTAGTTTGGTCCATTTAATAATGACAAAGGTGTCATCCACGTAGCGTATCCATAGTTTTGGTTGGATTAGCGGAAGGGCCATACTTTCAAGTCTCTGCATCACCCCTTCAGCTATTAGTCCGGAGATAGGTGATCTCATGGTGTCCTGTTGATCTGTTCATATATTTGGCCATTAAAGGTGAATTAGGTGGTGAGGCAATAGGTTCACTAGTTTCAGCATGTTGTCTGTGGAGATGGTGTCACCAGGATCTTGTTCTTGTTTCTGCTACAAATCTACTCTGAAATCTTAGACAATCTGAGGCAGCCCCACTAATGCGGTGTAACCTAGCAAAAGAGGTCATTCAGCGAGGTGATGATTGACACTGTTTAATCCAAAATTAATGGACTTGTTGAAAGCATAAAACTGCAGAGACATAAATTTCTCTTCTTTTAAAAAGAAGGCATGGATATATTACATTTTGTTTCTGTAAGCTGATGGTTTTATTGTAAAGTTGTTTCTCTCCTCCTTCAGTGAAGCTGTTCTAAGTGTAG